CCCCCCCCTGGTTTCCCAGTGCCACCCTGTGGTGTCCCCGTGGTGTCCCCACAGTGTCCCAGTGTCACCCCCGTGGTTTCCCAGTGCCACCCCGCGGTGTCCCCACAGTGTCCCAGTGTCACCCCCCTGGTGTCCCAGTGCCACCCCATGGTTTCTCAGTGGTGTCCCCACAGTGTCCCAGTGCCCCCCCGCGGTGTCCCCGCGCTGTCCCCACCTCGATGCGTCCCGTGTCGGGCTGGAAGCCGCGCGCGGGGTCCTCGGTGGTGACGCGGCACTGGATGGCACAACCATTGACCCGAATGTTCTCCTGCACCAGCCCCAGCTCGGGCAGGGACCGGCCCGCGGCCACCTGGAGCTGGGCGTGGACCAGGTCCACGCTGGGGGGGCACAGAGGGGGGCACAGGGTCAGGGGGGCACAGAGGGGGGCACAGGGTCAGGGGGGCACAGGGGGTACGACCCCACAGTCATCTGGAGCTGGGCATGGACCAGGGGGGCGCTGGGGGGGGGGCCAGGGGGGGGCACAGGGGATACCACCCCACGGGCACGTGGAGCTGGGCGTGGACCAGGTCCCATTACCTCGCGTGTTCAACACCCCGGGAATTTTGGGGTTCCCCTGCTACCCCAAGTGTTCCCCCAGAATTTTTGGGGTTCCCCAGGGTGTTTTTGGAGTTCCCCAGAGTGTTTTTGGGGTTCCCCGGGGTGTTTTTGGGGTTCCCCCGGGTTTTTGGGGTTCCCCAGGGTGTTTTTGGAGTTCCCCAGAGTGTTTTTGGGGTTCCCCAGAGTGTTTTTGGGGTTCCCCCTGGGTTTTTGGGGTTCCCTGGGGTGTTTTTGGGGTTCCCCGGGGTGTTTTTGGGGTTCCCCTGGGTTTTTGGGGTCCCCCGGGGTGTTTTTGGGGTTCCCCCGCCCCGGCTCACTCGGTGATCTCCTCGGTGACCGTGTGCTCCACCTGCAGCCTCGAGTTGACCTCGATGAAATAATAGTCCCCGTTCTGGTCCACCAGGAACTCCACCGTGCCCGCGTTCTCGTAGCCCACCTGGCACCCCAAACCACACAGGTGAGGGGGGGGCAGACCCCCCACCCTGTTCTCCCCTGTCCCCCCCATTCTGTACCCTCCCAGTCCCCGGGTACCTGCTGTGCCCACCTGGGACCCCAAAATCACACAGGTGAGGGGGGGAGCCAACCCCCCCACCCTATTCTCCCCTGTCCCCCCATTTTGGGGGTACCTGCCGTGCCCAGCTGGCACCCCAAACCACACAGGTGAA